GAAAAGCGTCGGCTACTTCTCTCAGAGAAGTCGGCTACATTTTCCCTAAATTTAAATAATTAAAGAAAGATTCTGTGAAAACTAAATTAAAATTCATGGTGATGGGCTTGTATGAACTGTTTACCTCAATTTCAAAATTAAATAATTATCAAAAGATTGGACACGACTCATTGCTCACGGCACTTGACTGGTTGCTCACGGTACTCGACTTGTTTTGGAGTGGTGTTAGGATGCAAGGCTTTATGAAAAATTTAGCTGCATGCAAAGTATGTAATCTAATTACCGTCATTTGTTTATCGTGTTCAGGAGTTCATTGTGGCCTGATAAATCGAACCTTGAATGAAAGCTGCATTTTCTTGAATGACAACCTTGTGAGCATGTTTCATGGTATTACAAAAAGAACAGAAAGAAAACAAATCGGACGCTCATTCAAAGTGCCCATAATGTCAAAAAATGTTTTTCACTCATCTAATTCTACATTTCACCAAATGAACTTCTGCGAAAAAAATTTTCGATTTGGATAAAACGCAATTTTTTTATAATTTTTTAAAGACATTCAAAATTTGCCGCCATTTTGGTCCGCCATTCGCACCAGTCTTCCTCGGTTTAAAGTGAGTCGTGACATAGGTTGAGGAACACGTGATTAAGGGGCCTGATGGCCCCTTGTTGGTATGGTCGGTTACTCTCACTAACCAGCTGCCTACTTGAAATTTTATTGAAACCCCTGGGCTCTTCATGGTTTAAGCATACGAGCACTTCTGTTTACTGGAGAAGTAATTTACCATATTTTGTAAATTGCAGCTGAACTTCAGAATACCTGGCCACCTCATTTACGTGTCATTAAATAAGAATAGTGTCTATTAATTGTGTTATGCCTCGTTCTTCAAAGCCTCCCAACACATGTAAATGAGGTGGATGGGTATTCTGAAGTTGCTCCTAAATCGCTTTGAAAATGAAATCTTCATCCATTTGAATAACCTTTTGAAAGGAGTTTTAGTAGACCGAAGGAACACTGAAGAGCTTCGAAGGATTGCTTGATGTAAACACTGTCATCCTGGTCCACATGCATAACAAACAAGACCGTGTGAGAAAGCAGCATTTGCCAGGTCACTAAGCTAATGTAATCGTTCGATGAAAATGAGAATTCAGCAGAAAACAGCAGCGAAGCTGTAACGAAAAATGTCTGCTCTACAGATCGGAAGGTACAATAGAAATCAGCCCCACTAGGTTTCTGTTTAAACCACGTAAAATTTATTATTTCAAACTTTTTTGTCAACGAAGAACGCGCTGAAAACTGACGAAACTCAAACACAATTAGAACTGGTTTTGTGAACTCGGTTTTCCTAATGGACTTCAGGCAATTGTTATGCTAATTTCTTGGATTGCTTGGGTCAGGTCTTTGTCTATGATCTGTGTATAAGTCGAGGTTTATTTTTTGGGCTGATTTTTCGGTCGTAAAGGGTCGACTTATACACGGATAAATACGGTACTAAAGAATAAAAAACTTTAAAAAGTAAATAAATAAAAAATTATAGTAAGAAGTGAAAAACATGTTACTTGAATGTATTAATATTAACAGATTCTCTTATTACCTGGCTAAGTGCATTAAAGTCATTTACAGCATGATATTCAGTTCTTTGTTTCTCCCAGTTCCTCTTAATGCTGGCGAGTCTAAGATTGTTTTTCTTAATCACTTATTTTCGTATTCGTCCAAGGAGGTGATGATTCCTTCACACGTCATCTTTTGACAGGTGTGTGATCATCTGCAACTTCTGAAAACAATTTGTTCCAATTCAGTAAAGCATCATCAATATTGTTTTCATTCTCGACGATGTGCCAGAGAGTATTCTCAAGATCTTCATTTAATAAATTTACATCAACTGAAATTCTTATAAGAGCGATACATTAACATTCTTGGTTGAACATTATGTGAACACCAGCCTTCAATATGCAAAACACCAAGTAATGGTCACTCAGCAGAATCAAAATAACACCAGATTTAACAATGTGATGTTCATTATTGACAAAGATCAAATCTAGCAGGGTCCATGAGGTGTCAGATATTTGAGTAGGCTCATTTATTAGTTGAGTCAAATCAAAAGTGCGCAAAAAGTTGAGAAGTTCTCGTTTGTCTTTCTTAGTCAAATTTGAATTTGGCATCAAATTAGCATTAAGATCTCCTAAAATGACTACATCTAATTTTTCAAGATCAATGGCAGACACAGTATCTCGCAGAAACGAAAGAAAGGTTTGGAAATCAGCATCTGGTGCTCTATAGGCATAGCACAATAGCACTGGTTTGCATTTATCTTGAATTAATTCAATCCATAAGCATTCCTGACCACCAGTATTGATATCGTTCTGTTAATGAAATGCCAAATCTTCTCCAACATGTACAGCAACTCCACCATTCCCTCTTAAACAATGCAATGTTCGTTATTGACAAAGATCAAATCAAGCAGGGTCCATGAGGTGTCAGATATTCGAGTAGGCTCATTTACTAGTTGAGTCAAATCAAAAGTGTGCAAAAAGTTGAGAAGTTCTCGTTTATCTTCTTAGTCAAATTTGAACTTGGCATCAAATTAGCATTAAGATCTCCTAAAATGGCTAAATCTGGTTTTTCAAGATCAACGGCAGGTACAGTATCTCGCAGAGATGAAAGAGAGGTTTGGAAATCAGCATCTGGTGCTCTATAGGCATAGCACAATAGCACTGGTTTGCATTTATCTGGAATTAATTCAATCCATAAGCATTCCTGACCACCAGTATTGATATTGTTCTGTAAATGAAATGCCAAATCTTCTCCAACATGTACAGCAACTCCACCATTCCCTCTTTATTGCCAATGCGATCTAGTCTTATGCACACAAATCCAGAGTGTTTAATTTCTGCATCTTTTGTAGAAAAATCCAGCCAAGTCTTGGACAAAGTTAGTATGTCAAAAGTTTTGTTGTTAATTCCCTTAAGACACAAAACGTCGATTCTATTTGCGAGACTTTGTATATTCAAGTGTGCAATCTTGAGATCTCCAGTGGACTTGATATTGCCAAAAGTCTGATAGCTGAGATTAATCTCAATGTCACCAGCAAGAGCAATAAGAGCTAATGCAAAACGGGCGCGATGAAAAACCTTACAGAACATTACACTCTTCAGCCGTCCATTAGACTCTTGCCTTCGGGTCAGTTTGTTTTGATGAGATGAAGCACCCGCAACTTTAGTCCTGCAGTTCATTTGGGAAGCAAAATATCTCTCTCTGTAATTAAGTATAGTGCCCTCCTGTAAATCCAAGAACCTGTAGCTCTTAAAAGTGATGTAAATACAGAGAAAAACACATAAGCTTGCAGAGAGCTTGAAGCAGTGACCGACCACCATGATGTTAATCATCACGCTTTGAAATACTTTTTTAGCATTCCAAGCAACATACAGCACTGTGCCACCTTTCCCTACATCTACGCAGTCTGGAAAGCTGCACAATTCCAGAACAAAATATCATCTTTCAAATTGATGCTCTTAATCCCAACAGTATTAGCCAATGCTTTTTATTCAACCAATTTATTCTAACTTGTATTTTTCATACTACCGTGTTCCCACCATTAATTAGCACATCTCTATCTTTCTGTATAGAAACCATGTACAGTACGACTCAAAATTTCTCTATTTGCTCTGATAAAGGGCTAATACTTTAAAGGTCAACTTTAGAAACTCATCAGGGTGGCCAATTTTCTTTATCGATTCAGTTGATAAAGCAGTAAATGGTTTGAGCCCGGAGGTAACTTGTGAAAGTGTAGTGTGATCATCCGGGTGAGTGTAGTCCTGAGAAGGACTGTTGTTGGTGGTGGTGACTGACGTTTCAACAACCTGTGTGGAAGTCATCATCAGAGTGAAGTGAATAGCTTTTGTCACTAGAATGTTCTTAGTCCACTCCATGTTCTTAGTGAAGTACACAAACTGCACTAAGGACTGTATTTATCTTGTGGTACCTACCACTTATGCAGCGCCAAAATCTCTTTTATTAGTAACTTACCCCCTTTGTTTATTTTTCGTTTTAAAATCTGATTTCTGGAAAGCTCCATAATATCTCTACTGTATTAAACTAAAGGTCACAAGCATTGATGAAATTGATCACTAACTGAAGAAGCTCTTAATTCAATTAATTCTAAATATGTAAAAATCATATATGTGTGCTGCGGTTTCATGAAATGTATGAAAGCATTCCTCACAGTTATAAACTTAACTTATCTAGTAGGCAGAAGTAAGGCCTGAAAAAAAAAATTCAGGCCCATACAGAATTTGAACCCATGAACTTTGCAATACCAATGCAGTGCTCTACCAACTGAGCTAACAAGCCAACTGGGAGCTGGCCATTATGTTGGTTCGTATCAAACTTGTCAAAGTGATATAAATCAAAGAATTTTAAATATATGAAAATTATATAATTTTATGTGTACTGCAGTTTCATGAAATGTATTGAAGTGTTCCTCCTTACACTGGTATCACAGAATTCATGAGTTCAAATCCCATATGGGCCTAAATTTTTGAAATTTCAGGTCTTATTTCCACTTACTAGATCTATAGGTAGGGTTTATCAATGCAAGGAACACTTCCATATAAATAATGGTAATTGAACTGAGTGGAGTGCAATTTGGGCTGAAATCATA